GTCTGCGATAGTGTCTTAACATCAACAAAACATATTCTTTTGTTGATTAAAATTGCTACACCTCTCTGTTTTGAGTTATAACTAGCTAAGTATACGTGTGGAAATTCTGGTGAATTTAATGTACACTGTCCTGTTTTGGCTAAGTGAGTTTCCTGCAGTAGGACAATGTCTGCCTGTAATGTTGTTAGATATTCTAAGATTTTATGTCTCTTAGCAAATGAGCCAATACCACGCACGTTCCAAGTGACAAAGCGTAGTGAATTCATGCTGTCCTAAAATCTTTGTGTTCCAATTCCAAGTTATTTTTGAGAGTTTCAAAGTCTATTAGTTCTCCCCTATTTGTTATTGTACAATATGCTGATAGGCCTTTAGTGGCCCAATTCATGAAACTATTGTTGAGAGAGTTATGGAGAAAATCTGAATCATAGGAACACCATTTGAGGGCTTTCTATATCGCCTTTAACTTATGTGTAGTCATTATTTCATCCCAAAGTTTTAGTGGTAAATTTATGTATGGATTGTTTTTGTCAACAAGATGAGCCCTCAATGCCACGTCTGCAATAATTGCTTGAATGGGGATGTGAATTATCAAAGAATTTTTTATCTCCTTCCAGTTAGCTACATATGAAGGGTTACACCAGCATAGGTGCGTCCTCAAGTGAGCTGCGATGTAGTAGGTACTCATGCATGGGAGAGCCATTCCTCCCCTAGTTTTTTGTAATTGGAGAACTTTGTATTTAATCCTCGGTTTCCTTCCATCCCAGATAAATCTAGATATTTGGAACACAAAGATTTTTATAGATACCTACAGCTGAGACATAATTTTTACCATAAAATTAAAGAGAACAGCCAGGATGACTTGAGTAAAATTGATTTCATGGATATATTTCATTCAGTATATAAAACACAACACCTAAAGAAAACAATTTCCAAATTATATAAAGGACAGAAAACAGAATCAACATTGTACATTAAAGAGAGATGAGAAAAAAGAAAGTAAGCTGACGATGCCTTTAGAAGATTGGGAAAATGTATGTGATATTCAATGGCAGACAACCTCTTCACATATTTGCAGGGAGTTTTGTTGGAAAACTGTGCTTGACACGGAGCAAACATACATTCAAAAATTCTAAATGTTGGTGACAATGTGGAGAATTGAAAGCAAACCACTTTCATGTATTCTGGGACTGTCCTCAACTACATAATTACTGGAATGGAATTCATACCATCATGGAGAAGACACTGGATTTGGCAATTCCATTTCGATTTGATGTCTTGTACCTGGGGAATATCTCTGCCACAATGCACACGAGTCCAAAATATCTGTTTAAAATAATTATCGCTGCCAGTACTGTCACGTTTGGCAAGCGGGCGAGCGGTGAAGCAGGCAAACGGAGCCATAAATAAGGACAGACAGGGTTTATTACTGACGGGATGGCTGACAGGCACAAACATCCACGAACAAACATAACAATACAATGACGGATCTGGGGAAGACTGACTGAGACTTGGACTAAACACATGAGACAAGGCAAAAGGAGTCGACATGAGGTAATGAGGGGGCGTGGCACACACAAGGATCGTTCGGAGCTGAAGGTGACAAGTACAAAGGCAATAACAAAGAACTGGCTACAACAAGACCGGCCTAGGGTAGAGGACTTTTATGATGTTATGAGAGAAATTTTTGTAATGGAGAAATTGTCTTTCCCCCTAAAGTTGCGGAAGGACACATTAAAGAAATATTGGAGAAAATGGATTTTATATGTGAACTCTGTTATCCCAGGAACTTTTGTGATATAATTGAGCATATTATCTGTCTCTCATCCCCCATGTCAATGTTCAGTACCTTATGTTAATGTATTTATTAAAAAAAAAACTTTCATTTCTTGATGTCACTGCTTTTGAATACATTTTTTTGGTTGTTTCCTCCCCCTGTTGCTGTTGTTAGTTTATCACCCTCCTAAAACTGCTGCTAACTTCCTGCCAGAATGTAATGAACTCCTCACACTTATCTCATCTCTCTGCCCTCCATTATTGTTCTTGGTGACTTTAATATCCATGTTGACACTGGCTGCTCCTACACATCTGAGTTCATCTCAGTATTAGAATGTTTTAATTTTACTCAGCATGTTAACTTTCCAACTCACATTCATGGTCATATTCTTGCTTTGCTCTGTTCTAGTGGTTTGAATGATGTTTCTGTCTCTGGTTCAGTCTCTGGTATCTCTGATCATAAGCTTATTGGATGCAG